GCTGGAAAGACGTCTCCGGGGCTGGAAAGGAGCCGGAAAGATGTTGAAATTAAATCAATGTTTGTGAATTGTGGGTTAGGTTTTGTGTTTGTTTGTTGTTGTTGGATTCTCTTTTTTCTCTTTGTTTGTTTGTTTTTGTGTTCTGGCACTAAGATTGTTTCTTTCTCTTTCTCTGTCTGGCTGTGTTTCTGTGTCTTGTCTGTCTTCCTTTCCCTCTCCTTCCTTCTCTCTCCCTCCTTCCTCCTCTCCCTCCCTCCTCTCCCTCTCTTCCTCCTCCCCCTCCCTTCCCCCCCCTCTTTTCTACTCCCTCCCCCTCCCTTCCCTCCTCCCTCCTTCCCCTCCCCTCTCTCCCTCCTCCCCTTCCTCCCTCCCTCCCTCCCTCCAATCTAAATATCCATATTTATTTGGGGGACAAAACGGATAATTTCCTCACATATCTTTCACTTGCAACTGAAATATATTTTACTCAAATTATACCTTATTCCATTTCCTCGCGGCGGAAGCTCCCCTATTACCTGTAACTTGCGGTCGATATAGTTACACCCTCTAACTCCCCCCTCCGCCCCCCCTTCTACCTTTGGCTCCCTCCCCCCCCTCCTTCCTCCCCCCCTCCCCCCTCTACCTTTCTCTCCCCCCCCCCTCTCCCCCTCTACCTTGTCCCCTCCCCCTCTACCTCTCTCCCCCTCCTCCCCCTCCCCCCTCCTCCCCTCTACCCTCCCCCCCTCCCCCTCCCCCCCCTATTCCCTTTCTCCCTCCCCCCTCTCCTACCCCTCTACCCTGACTCCCCCCCCCTCCCCTCCCTCCGTAAGATTCATTAGATTGTTATATGGTCGATGTCTGTCTTTCTCTTCGTTCGTTTGTTTTTTGTTTGTTTTTTCTCTTTATTTTTCTCTCTATCTATCTGTCCATTCGTTATTTTTTTTCTCTCCTTTCTCTCTTTCTCTCTCCTTTCTCGTTTATAATCTCTCTCTCTTCTCTTCTCTCTCTCTCTCTCTTCTCTCTCATTCTCTCCACTCTCTCTCTCGTTCCTCTCTTCTCTCTCTCTCCTCTCTCTCTCCTCTCTCTCTCTCTCTCTCTCTCTCTCTCTCTCTCTCTCTCTCTCTCTCTCTCTCTCTCTCTCTCTCTCTCCTCTCTCTCTTCATTTTTCCTTTCCAAAGATCTCGTGTAAGAAGTGAGTTGCCGATTACCCATTTTTTTATTTTACGTTTCTGGGTAATATGATAGATATATTTAGATGTTGTTTCTGAACACACACACACACACCACCACACACACACACACACACACACACACACACACACACACACACACACACAACACACACACACACACACACACACAACACACACCACACCACGAACAACCACACATACAAATATATATGCATAATAGATAGACATAGATATACAAAGATATAGGCATATATGTCTATACATGTACATACACGTATAAAATGAAATACATGAGACACACAAAACAAATAAAAACAACAGCAAAGCAATGCAATTTGTCAAATTTCGCAAATAACTTCTTTTGTCTTTGTGTGATTCATGCAACATAGGTTATCAACCTTTGGAATGTCTGTTATTTCTGTTTTCCTCTATTCCCCTCTTTCGTTTAAGGTTCTTCTGTCTATTTCTGTAATTAGGTTTTCATTCATTCCTTTTGTTTAATTAACTTTTTGTTGGATAAATAACGTAAATAAATAAGTAAATGATTAAAAAATAAATATATATATAAATAAATATATAATATAATATATATATATATATATATATATACATATATATATATATATATATATATATATATATATATATATATTATATATATATATTATATATATAATATTTTTTTTTTTTTTTTTTTTTTTTTTTTTTCCTTTCTCTGTGTCTCTTCCTTTCCTGGTTGTGCATTCTCTCTTCTCTTCCTTCTCTTCCTCCTTCTGGTCAGTCTCCATACTTACCTGGAAAGAAAAGATAAAAATGATTAGGATTTAGTTTAATAAGCTTAATGATTAATTTTTTGTATGTTTTTCTCTTTTTTCTCTCCTCCTCTTCGTCTCCCTCCCTTCTTTCCTTATTCCCTCTCTCCCTCTTCCTCTCCTCCTCCTCTTCCCCCCTCCTCTCTCTCCACATTCCTCCACATTCCCTCTTTCTTTCTGTCTCTCTTTTCCCCTCCTTTCACTCTCTCCCTCTTTCCTTCTTTCCTTTCCTCCTCTTTCTCTTCCCCATCTTCTTTCCTTCTCTCCCTCTTTCTTTCCTCCATTCCCTCTTTCCTTCTCTCCTTCTTTCCTCCTTCCCTCTTCCTCCTCCTCTTCCCCTTTCTTACCTCTCTCTCTTTCCCTCCTTTCCCTCTCTCCTTCTTTCCTCCTTCTCCTCTTTCCTCCCTCTCTTTCCTCCTTTCCTCTATTCTACTTCCTCTCTCCCTTCTTACCTCTCTCTCTTTCCCTCCTTTCCCTCTCTCCTTCTTTCCCTCTCTCCTTCTTTTCCCTCTCCTCCTTCTTTTCCTGCTTCTCCTCTTTCCTCCTCTTTCTTTTCCCTCCCTTTCCTTCTATTCCTTCTTCCCCTCTTCCCCTTTCCTTACCTCTCTCTATTTCCCTCCTTTCCTTCTCTCCTTCTTTTCCTTCTATTCCTTCTTCCTCCTCTTCCCCTTTCTTACCTCTCTCTCTTTCCCTCCTTTCCCTCTCTCTCTCCTTCTTTTCCCTCTCTCCTTCTTTCCTCCTTTCCTCTTCCTCCTCTTCTCCCTCCTTCCTTCTCTCCTTCTTTCCTCTATTCCTTCTTCCTCCTCTTCCCCTTTCTTACCTCTCTCCACATTCCTCCACATTCCAAAGTACACATTCCTTCGCCGGTCATTCCTCTCACTAAACAGTCAGAGGAGAGAGGGAGGAGAAAGAGAGGGGGAAGAGAAAAGATAAATGAAAAAGAAAGGAAGAAAGAAAATGGAAAAGAGAGAGAGAAAATCTGAATAAATTGAGAGGAAGGAATGGGGAAATATGGAGAGGAGGGAGGAGGAGAGAGGAGAGAGAGAGAGAGAGAGAGAGAGAGAAGAGAGAGAGAGAGAGAGAGAGAGAGAGAGAGAGAGAGAGAGAAGAGAGAAGAGAGAGAGAGAAGAGAGAGAGAGAAAGAGAAAAAGGAAATAGAGAGAAGAGAAAAAAAAGAAAGAGACAAACACAAATATATCAAGACAGAAAACAAATAGAAAAAACAAAACAAACAAAAACAAAAGAACCAAAACAAAACAGCCAACAAGAGCCAGAAAAAAAAGAGAAACAGAAAAAAAAAAAAAAAAAACAGAAAGAGAAAGATAAAGAAAGAGAGGAGAATAAAGAGCTAAGCACACAGACCCCAAGACGGAATGCGAGGAGGGAAGTGCCTTGGTATGCAGTCACGGGAGGGGGGGAGAGGGCGGGGAGGGAATAGAGGGAGAGGGAGAGGAGAGGGAAGAGGGAGAGGAGGATATAAGGGGAATAGAGGAGGAAGGGAGGAAAAGGTAGGGAGGAGGAGGGAGGTGAGGGGGGAGGGGAGGAGGAGGGGAGGGAGGGACAGACGGGGAGAAGGAGGAGGAGACAAGGGGGGGGGGGGGGGGGATAAGAGGATAGTGGGAAGAAGGAACGAAAGGGAGTAGGGGGATGGGGATAAGGGGAAAGAAGGAGGAGAGGAGAGAGAGACAAAAGGAGAAGGGGAGAGGTAGAGAGAGGGAGAGGAGACAGGGAAGGGGGGAGGGATATAGAGAGAGAGTAGAGGAGAAGGGGGAGGAAACAGAGGAAGAGAGGGAGAAGATAGAGGGAAAAGAGGGAGAGTTAGAAGGGGAGAGGAAGAGAGAACAGGGAGAGACAGAAGGAAGAGGGAAAGAGGGAGGAGGGAGAGAGAGACAGAGGGAAAAGGGGAGAGAGACAGAGGAAAGAGAGAGAGAGATAGAGGAGGAAGAGGGAGAAGGGAGGGAGGAGAGGGAGGACAGGAGAGGGAGACAGGGGGAGGAGAGAGACAGAAGAAGAGGGAGAGAGGAAGAGAGGGGAGAGAGACGGAAAGGAGGGAAAGAGGAGGGGGGAGAGGGGGGGGGAGGGGGAAGGGAAGGGGATTAGGCGAATAGAAGCGAGTAGCCGACGACTCTTCCCTCGGTATGTGGACACGGAAAGGGCAATAAAACTAGACATAGAGAGAATGAAATAAAAGAAATGAATGTCAAAAAAAAATACGCATTGCGAAGACTTCCTGTAATTTTTTTTTCTAT